TCCCCGCGGCCATCATTCTACTCTTTGCATCTACTTTGAGTCTGACATCCTTTACAAGTCTTCTAGATATGGAATCACGTGGTATTTATCCTTCTGGGACTGGCTTATTCCACTTAGCATAAAGCCCTTACGGATCGTGTAGATTGCTACATATGGCAGGCGGTCCTTCCTTTTAAAGGCTGAGTAGTATTTCATTGCATGTGTTTGCCATATTTTCATTATCCTTTCACCTGTTAATGGACAGGCTGCTGGCACCTCTTGGCTATTGTGAATAATACTTCAAGGAACACAGGAGTTCAGCTATGCCTGCAAGATCCTTTCTCAGTTCTGGGTAAACGCTCAGAAGTAGTATTCCTGCACCACATGAAAGTTTATTCCTATAGTGGATAGAACACTTTACCTTCCCACCAGCATGCACAAAAGCTCCAACTTCTCCACATCCTCCCCAGTGCTTGTTCTTTTTCTTTTTGATAATGGTCACTCTACAGGTCTGAGGCCATATCCTCTAATGATTCTTATCTTTGTTTTAAATGTAGCATAATCTTGTCATTCAATTGCTTTTTCCCCACCAATGAGATATTCAGATTGGCAAAAGATGACAGTTTGTGCTTTAGTTTCTTCAAAGGCAAAATGGAAACTCCCAACAGTGTGTTGGATGGATAAGTCCTACTGTGCGCAGCAGGGGCAAAGCTAGAAATACCAGCCCAGCCCCCATGGCTCCTCCATCTGAGCCTCTGGGAGGCCAGGCGTGAAGCAAAGAATGCAGCCACAGCTCAGGAGGGTGAGGAGCAGAGGGGTGAGCACAGGGCCCGCGTGCTGGAGTGGCTGGCTTGCGGGGCACAGAGAACAAGGGAATGATATAAGGCAAGAACAGGGATGGCAGGAGAAAACCCCCAGCCTAGACTGAGGCCCAGGTCCATAGCATGGCCTGTGTGGTGTGGGAGGAATGAAAGATGAGGATACACATGTGCCTCACCAGCCTCCCTGGTTAGGCCCTTTCTGGTGCTGGTTCTTGTAGTCATGTCTCCCTGGGGTGAGCATGCAGCTAGGAACACGGTGAAGCCCCATACGTGGTCCTCCTGCACCCTAATTCTCAGCCCCAGCATGGTCCTAGAGCTCCCAGCTCCACCAGCTAAGGCTGCTCTGGGCCTCTGCCCAGGATCCCCAGGCTGAGCCCCACTTCTTCTCCCCTCCTAAGTTGCTGCCCTTGCTCTCTACTCCTCCAGCTCCTAGGGGGTCCTGAAAGACCTTGCAGCCGTGGCCCTGTCCCCTTCTGCTAACCTGGTTACATCTGCTCCATCCCTCGGCCCTGTCACCCTGTGAACTGCATACCTGCCACCTCCACCTTCCATCCTCCTGGCCTGCCCCAGCCCTCAGCCCAGCCTTTTCCTCCAGAGGGAGCCCCTTGTCTTTGTAAGACACCCTGGTGCCTCCAGCTGCCCCAACTCATCCCTGTCACTATCCTGCCTGCCACTATCCCCAGAGGCTTGAATGTCCAGCTCTTTCTGCTGTCCTTGGGCTCTGCAAGCCATTCGTGTCCTTTAAATTTCTCTCTATTTTTGGAAAAGTGAGCGAGTCTCCTTCCTGCAGCACTGTGGGGTTCAGGGACATCCTGTTACTGTTCCTGTTGTTTGTGGGGCCATCTGCATGGACCAATCATAGGCCAGAGTGGTGATGCTTTTACAATGGGATGTTGCTTCATTAAGGGAATTAGGTTAACAGAGAAAGGCCGGGTTTGCAAAGATGAAAAGGAGGTAGTTCCCCACTCCCCTTGTCCTAGTGAGTCTGGGTGCAGCCTCTCCCCCAGGGGGAAGGGGTGGAGATGCCCCACTCAAGTGAGCGACTCATCCAGTAGCCCAGGGTGAGATCCAGGTGCCTTCAGCAATGGTGCTTCCTGAGGATCCTCCTCTTACAGATGCAGAAGGAGGCTAGAGAGTAAGCAGTTGGTTAAGACACACAGCCATTCCAGGTTTGAAATTTAAAACCAGTTCTGTTTTGTATTCGAGGAACAACACGAGACAATAGGAGATCTGTCATTCTGATCTGTCATTCCACCTCTGAGAGGGAAGGTGGGCGCTAGCCAGGTCCACAGAGCTCCCCCTTCCACCCTGGCTGTGGCTGCCTCCCACTGCAGCCCTTTTGAACCTACTAAAAGCTGTGAGTGCCCTACAAGCCATTTCATTTGCTGCCTGTAAAGCAGACTTGGCAAGCGCGTGTCTGTCCCTAACCTTCTCCTGCCTGAGAATCACTCCCTGACTTAAAGATGACGTCTACATTTTCTATTTTAAAATGCTCTATAGTTCCCAGCAATGGTATGCACATAGAGGTGTCTATAGAAATTTTTGAGATCTCACAAAAATAGCCAAGATGAAAATAGGAGCTGTTTCTTTAATTCTTCCTATACAATTTTAAAGAAATGTTTTAATATTCCATTCAATTCTTTCATCCCTTATTTCCTCTTTCTCTCTCGCCGGTTCTGAAAAATAAGTGCAGCCATAAATATGCAAAATGTGGAAAGCTGACTTTTCCTATATCTAATAAAAACCTCGGGGAGTAATTGAAATAACTTGGCGTGAGTAGTCAGGTTCTGTGCCGCATAATATCAAAAGAAAATCCATAGCAAGGAGAAGCAACGGAGAAGAGGGAGAGAGGCTGACGAGTAAAACCAGGACATTAAATAATGAGCAGCTATGAGAATCTAAAAAAAAAAAAAGTCCTTTTAGAATTACATTCTTAGAAAAGTAGTCAAGAGGCATCTTCAAAGAAGCAACACGAGACAAGGTGTACATTTTATGCATGTCTGCAGATTGAAAATTCAAAGGAGGGAAATGCTCTCCTTCTTGCATTTTTTCTTTAGACAAAGTCTGACGGAAGCCACGGGCACCCATCAAATCTTGACACGCGTGTCCTTTCGTCAGGGGCCCTCCTCCCCTCTCCCTCTTCTCTTTTCATCTTCACAACCCAAGTTTTAAAGCAATGCTGTCAAGGCAGCAGATCACACAAGGAGAGCTGGCTACTCTCAATTGTCTGGGGTACCCTTTCCTCTGGCTTTGTATTTTACAAGTTATCGCTGCATTCATTATGAGTAGGACAGTGACATCCATGAGTCTGTGTCCTGGGAAAGAGGGAGATGCTGGCATTGAAGTCACATGGGGTGAGAACAACTTACACATTAGATTTCTGCAAGAATCTTGTTGCTCATTATCCTGCCTTCACCCTAGGCTACCTTTAGCTATGCAGGCTGTACTAATTCTGGACTCAATTACTTTCTGAGGTTTATAAAAGGCTATTTATATACAAAAATGAAACCTTTTGGAACTTGAAAAGCAGGGAAAAAATCACCCGTAACCCAGCAAACATAAAAAATTTGGTGTATTTTCTAGCAATCATTTTACTTAAGAATAGCTGAATTTTTTTTTCTTTTTCACTATGGTTGAAATTGAACCATAGCTTTCAATTTTGTGTCCTGATTTTTTATTTTGGAAATGTTTTATCTTTCTCAATTGAAAATAGGAAGAGTATTAGCCATCATTTTCTAGAGCTGCATGATATTCCACACAAATGGGATCCTGTTCATTTTTGTGTTTTGCATTGGAAAAGAGCAATTGATAGTGCTGAGGGTTATTTATGTATCTTACTGAAGGAAAACATTCAGCAAGGATCTTGATCTGTTATGATCATTGCTGTTAGTTGGATCATAACTATCAGCTGTGTCTATGTGTACACAGGTAAGCGTGACCATTTTTTACAGCTCATCTTGACACTCGGACCATAAACATATTATCTTTGCTGGTGTCTGAGTAGAGTTAGAAATCAGGGTAGGTGGTCCAGCTCTGTAACTGAAACCTGGGACCAGGTTCTTGGACTTTCTACATTTCTATTTCCTCAGGTTTAACAGTGTGGATAATTTTTCCTTTCTGAGAAGTATATTTTAACACATTTGATAATTGGGTTGGGTGCTGCCATCAATGAGTACCTTATGATTTTCCTTCCTTTCTCCTCCCTCCACACTTCCCAGAGCTATTACAATCAGCAGAATCTTACTATTGAAGAAATATAATAACATTTGCCTGACAGTGTTTGTTGCAGGAATGTACATGAAGTGTTCTTAGTGCTTGGTAGAAGCTCAATAAATGGCAGCTACTATTTATTAGTTAAAAATCTATGTTATTCTTAGAATACTAGAATATTAACTCTGGGTAGAATATTTATTTTCAGAAAGGCATTATTTGTAGGTAACATATTCAGTTAAAACTCATGCTGCTTGGAAAATTCCTTCACATCTTTAGTTAATTAGAGAGGGCACAAGGGTGGCAAATAGTTTTAATGTCACGTGCCAAGGCTAATTGGCCTCTGATTATTCTCAGACATGCTGCAGTGTGGGAAGTGCTGAGGCAGCCTGGGTGTAGCAGGCAGAGCTGCCCAGGCTGATTAGTAATACGTTCCCCAGGCTTGGGAAGATGGAGTGGCAACACACACTGTGTTGGCCATCTCTGTGTGATGGTGTCGCAAAACATTACTTGGGAATTCATTAGGCATCAGCCAGGCTGTAGTTTATCAAATAGGAGCTTCATCAAAATCCTGGGCCAATAAACCAGCTGCAGGTCCAAGGTGGGAGGCTGAAACCCACACAGATAAAATTTAAGACTCCAGCCTCAGCAGGGACTTAGTACCATTGTTTCTGCAATGACCTTGCTTTTGGCTCAGCCCTTGTTTAGCTAATGCTTACTGAGGTCTGTACTCCTGAGCTCTGAACATGTGTACGATGGCTGCTGTTTGGTGACTGAGCCGCAGTCTGGATCATCCCCTTTTCTGTGTCTGGGGCTATGGGTACACAGCCTAAGCTCAGAGCACTTGTACCCCAAATGGTGTTGGAAGGGAGACTGTTCATTTTACTCTGGTCTTTGTTATCTCACTTTTTTCTTTTAAAGTTAGTACTTACCAATCAGAACCAACCATCACAGGCACTTTGATGAAAGCTTATGTGGAAAGCTACCTACCATTTCTTGAAATGTTCTGGTAATCTCTGTGGTTACAGCGGTTTCTTTTCCGTAAATGAAGGTAAATAGATTTTTCTTCAAACCTGAAACAAATACATTTGTATCTACTTAATGTCAAGATATCTAGTGATGAAGCTCAAAGAAACATTTTTTTGGAATGATTTTGAGAGTTATAATGAAAATGAATTCAGAAAATAACTTCACTGAAGTGTTTTTTTTTTTTAAACTGTGAGTGAATTATTGGGGGTTCTGAGAAGCAAACCTATGAAATGGATTACATTGATATGGTTAGATATCGTTCAAGTGATCAACCTTTTTCTTTTGTAGGAAGGCCCCTGTGGTTGTTACTTTCTAATCTTTTTTTTTTTGTTTTGTTTTGCTTTTGAGACAGGGTCTCACTATGTAGTTGAGACTGACCTGGAACTCACTAAGTAGCTCAGGCTGGTCTCGATCTCACAGCGATCCTCGTGCCTCAGCCTCCCAAGTGCTGGGATTACAGGCGTGCACCACCACACCTGGCCTTACTTTCTAATCTTTTAGCCAAGGAACACTGTAAATTTCTTGAGTACTCATTTATCTTTATTAATGCTGCTGTTTAGAATCTAACTGTTGTTTTCCTTCTTTTGGCTGCTCTGAAGCCATGGCACACACTCTTGTCCTCCTGTATTTTTGTAGAGTTGTGAGCAGGACCCCTATCTGTTCAGAATGATGACTAGGTCTCCTGCTTCCCTTGCAGCTAGGAGCAACCTTGTCACTAAGAGACAGAGATTAGAAACACCCAGTGGTGATTTCTGTAATGTTTCTTAGGAGACAGTTAGGTACTGACTCCTGCTCATTTTTCTCCTTTTTTGTTCCATTCCACCACCCGTAAGAGTAATTCTGCCATCCTGGACTGTGGAGAAAAAAGCCCATGTTGAGAATGCAGAGGGGTGAGCTGCAGGAGCCTAGACCCTTGGGCACTGGATGGAGTCAAGCTCTTGCAGCAGCTCCAGGCTGCATATTTATGAAGATTTTGTGTGTGTGTAAGAGACATAAGCTCATGTATTTTCTTATTTAAACCATCCATATGTTGAGTCTCTCTTACTTCTAGATAATGAACTAATTACTGTTACTATTATTAATAGGCACAGAGCTTAGAGACAAGTTTGATGTGAGTATCGTGATATAATTATTCATATTTTAAGCAGTTTTTGGCTTCTCATGGTCCCATATTTGATTTTCTATTTTCTTTTGCCAAGCTTTTAATTTAATTTAAATGTAACTTAATGTGTTATAGACTTCTTAAAATTCTTTTTGAAACAAGACCAGATGTAAGCTAATTAATAATAAGCTCATATATATTCCATTACTCTTCAAGTGTATCTTCTTTTCAGTCTGATAAGTCCATATCTCAACCTTACACACAATCACACTTTATTTTAAATTTTTAATTGTTATGTAAATCTTATTGCATTTCAGTACTTGGCAACTGTTTCCTGTGCTTAAAAAAGGTAAATACATATCATATCTGGGTATTTGGAAATCATTGATAGTATCTTTTTTGAAGTCTGAGAAAACCAATGATAGCATTTCTTAATAGAAACCCAACATGTCTGAGCAATATTTTAAATATATATGTATATATATATTTATATCTTATATTAAAGCTTTTATGCACATAGTTTAAAAGTCTAATTAACTAGCCAGGCACGATGATGAAAGATTGTAAATCCAGCCCTTTGGGAGGCAGAGGCAGAAAGATCATAAATCTGAGCCCAGCATGGGTAATTTGGTGAGATCCTAACTTGAAAAGTGGTGTGGGATGTAGCTCAGTGCGAAGGCCCTAAGTTTAATCCCCACTACTGCAAAAGGAACGAACAAAGAAATTAACTTACTGAAGAGATGTTGAGCACCTGCTATGTTCCACACTATTTTAGGCACTTATGTTTCATGGAAAATGAAGAAAACAAAGATCCCCACTTGTGTTGCTGACAACCAGTAGGAAAAGACAGATTAAAAACACTAAATATCATAGATAAAATAATATTAGAAGATGATAAAGTCTATGAAAGGAAAGGAAATTAGGAGGAGGGAAGGGAGATCAAGATTAGAATGGATCAAGAAAGTCTCAATGAAGAGGTAACTTTGGATGATGACTTCAGGCAGTGAGTCTTATAGAATGAAGTAGTTTATGTGTATAAACAGCAATATCATATTTCTCTCTTTTCCTCATGTCTCTATTTCCAGAGGCAACTAATATTAACTTTAATTGGGTGAATTTCTGTATTTTCTCCTTTTCCCTAAGTAACATAGTTTTACAGCTGCTTCTTGATTTTTAGTCTTTGACAACATCCTATTTTAGAAGAGGAGGACTTGGCTATTCACAACTGATCTATGATTGCTGTTTCTCTAAGGTTTTAAAATTTTCCTGGGATTAATAGTTGCCTTTTCTTTCTTTGCCTAATTTTCCAAGTAATTGTTGTCACTTTACCCTCAAATCTTCTACTGTTGTTTGATCTCTTCTCAAAGAGTGCTCATCACATAGCTTCTTATTAATGTTACCTTCTTTGTGAATGCATCTCCTGGAGCCTCTTAACTTGCTTCAGTTTGGATTTATTATCCTTACTCCGGTGCACCAGATCTCCTGGGAACTCCTGTCTCTATTGTCCTGTGCTGTCTCTTCACTTCTCACTGAGTTGCTAGATACCCTGCTCCCTGGAAGGTTATAGTTTTCCTTTATTGTACGGAGACAGCTTTTAGGTAATTTTGAGGGGTGGATGGAAAATATAATTATCCTTTCCAACAATGCTTTTATTCTTTGATTTAATTGCCAGTAAGGTGTGAGATGAGCCCAGAAACATAGCTCACACTGTAAATATAACTGTCAGTGGGGTTCATAGGACTTCTTTGGGAAAAACATGAAATGGGGAGGGAGTAGAGTCCACATGGTCACTGGGGTCTCATTATCCTACTTGAAAATTCCTTAGAAAGAACCCAGCTGAGTTGGACATCTCTGGGACAGGAACTATGCTCATTGACAGTACATATTATTGAAAAAAAGAGGTTGAAGTCTGAATAATAATAATAATAATAATAATAATAATAATAATAATAATAGACTTTTTTTTTTGGTACTGGGGATTGGACCCAGGGTCTTCATACTGAGCTACATCCCCAGCCCTTTTTCATTTTTGTATTTTGAGATAAGGTTCTGTTAAATTGTCCAGGCTGGGCTCGAACTTGTTCCTCTCGCCTCAGTCTCCCAAAGTGCTAGGATTAAAGGCAAGGGCAATTGCTTTGTTAAAAGGAGGTGCCCAAAACATGATGGATCAGCTTCCTACTAAGCTTCCTAAAGAGTAAATAAAATTGTTTTCAGTACCATTAGCATTTTCTTCTTTGACTGCTGTGGCAGACTGAAGACACCCTCACTATCCTTGACACCTCTACTCTTGAATCTGGGCTGGTACATGACTTTTTTTTTGGACTAATAGGGTATGACAAAAATGACACTATGTCAATTCTGTTTTCAAAAGTCCTGGAAATTTTTGGCTTGTGGAGTCCTGCACCATCATATAAAGCAGTATAACTATGCTGCTATAGACATTACAGGAAGCAACTTTGGAAACAACTAAGATATCCTTCATTAGCTAAATGAACAAACTGCTGTGTCTATATAATGGGATATTTATTGATAAAAAGAAATAAGCTACAAGCCACAAAAGACATAAATATACATGAAGTGCATATTAAGTGGAAGATGCCAACCCGAAGACTGCATGGTATACAATTCCAACTAGAGACCCTCCTTTACTTACAGAGGGGAGCCAGCCCAATAAACCCAGTTAGATGTACAGAAAAACTGGGCAGGAAATGGAAAATATGAAATATCTCTTCTCAAATTCTATTACCAACATCTTGTATTAAGTGTGCTGCATACTTGTTACAATGTAAAGCTCATATTTATGCCTTATTAAAGTCCATGGTTTACATCATGGTTCACTGTTTCTGTTGCACAGCCTGAGTTTTAACAAAAGCATATATCCACCATTATAGTATCATACAGGCTATATCATCACTGCTTTAAAATCTACTCCGACTCACCTTCCTCCACCCAGACATCTAATAACCCTAAAACTGTTTAGAAAACAAAGTCTAATGAAAGAAGAAAAAAGACCCTGCACGGAAAGGAAGGAGAAGTCACTGAACTTCACCTTCTAGTCACCCTTTCCAGGCCCCATCATTGGACTGGAGCCATCTTGGGTCCCCCAGCCCAGCCTGGCCATTATGTGACTACCACTGAGTGATCAAGATCAGTGGTCAGTGTCACATGGAGAGAAGGAATTGACTATCCAAGATCTGCCTGAGTCTCTTGACTTCAAAATTGTGAGATAAAATAAAAATGATTATTGTTTTAAGCCACTAAAGTTCAGAGTACTTTGTTACACACTAGATAAACAAACGGTTTGCTTTAAAATTCTAGGTTAAGATGATTTTCCTCAGAAGTTTGAAGAAATAAACCCACTAACTTCCAGTCCTCAGTGTTAATGTCTAAAGCCATTCTTTGTCTTAACATTTTGGAAGCTTGTAGTAGTACTGTATCCCAAATGCTCTAAAATGTTATGGCAGCAGGGTTCAGGTGGGTCAGTTTTCTCTCATATTGTTAGACATGTGACAAATCCTTCCAACCTAGAAATTCATGTTACTGTATTTAGTTCTGAGAAACATTCTTGAATTATTTCATTGATGGTGTCCTTATTTCTTCTTTTTCTTCTGTTTTTTCCCCCCTACAAATATTATTTGGGTATTGGGTTATTGAAATTACCTTCTACTTTTTCTTAGCTTTTCTGTTATTTTTAATCCCTTTGTCTATTGTTTTTCTGGATGATATTCTCAACTTTGTCTTTTCAATCTTCTGCTAAAATCATTTACTATCACTAGTAAATAAAAGTAGTAATCTTTTTTGTTCTATGAGTAGCCCATTAATTTTATCACATACTCTTATTGTATGAATGTTGTATCTTCTTTTATATTTTTGAATATATTTAGTTATTTTATAGGGGTATTGATAAGATCTCCTTTTAAAAAGTTTTTCCCTTGGTGGATA